TGGTTCAATCCCCACCTTCCCCACCTTTGAGATTTTAATTTTAAGGTAACATATTTTCAGCAGGGCATAATAGTAAATTTATGGATAAAGGAAGGGTATAATGGTAAATTGAACAAAAAAGTAACCCCGTCAGGGGGATTTGTAACGGCGTTAACATAACAGGGCGAGTGTGCATGTAAACATTAAATACAAGGGGGTTTGACGCAATTTTTGAAATACGAGGGGAAAACGCGCAGATTTAGTATAATACAGGGGGATTTGGTGCAATAAACCCTAAGTGTGCATGTTTTTGTTTTTATTTTTTTTTTATAAACAACAAACAACATTAACATCTCGGTCTATATTTATGAAATCTCACTTCAAAAGGTAACAAAAATTTTAGGATCTCCGTCTTTATATTTTGAACGCTAAAAATGTTCTTTAAATATCATTTTTCAGAAGTTATGACAATTTATTTATTTGGAACGTGTGATAATAAACTTGGTAATGTTTATCAATTCTTTGTTTACCAATCTATTGTTTTTTTTCTTAAAAAAAAACTCGGTTTCAAAAGGTAATATAATTTCCTAAATCCGAGTCTTAATAGTTATGTCATTTCATAAAAAATATTTAATGATATATATTATTGTTAATTGTACACGATTTTAAAAACTCAATTATAAATTGTATGTTGATATCCAAATTATTTTATAATAGCAACCGGCTTTATTAAATCTCCACGAAAATATGATGAGACAAAATGAGACAATCAACTTTGTATGGAAATAAAATAAAATCAATAAATTAATATGAAATTCACAGGAAATGAACATAATTAGTATTTTGAATAGTACAAGGATCTCAAAATTAATACTCACGTGGGTTCTAAAATTCAAACTTATACTTATCATAATCTTTTGGAAATTGAATAATATATTGTAGGCAAGATTTCAAACTAAATAATATTTTAATTACTATCTTAAAATCGGTTAGAATCTTAAGATAAGTTAAGACTTGATTTCAAAACTCAATCCTTCGAGATAAACACTTATTTATATTGGCAATA